TGATTCTATGATTCTATGATTCTCTGACTTGCCTTTTAGGACAGCCTCTATAGAAATACGGTCTAGAAAAACCATCTGAGTAACCCAAACTATTCACGTGGGTGCGTAGAATTGGGTGATATGAACATCCCTTTTGCTGCCAGATTTCTTGTCTGTATTGACTGTCTGGTAGGGCATTGTGGAGACTTCTTTCTCCAGTTTTATCAGTACAGTTGTTCAGAAATATCCTCTTGGATGGTGAATTTGGTTTATGGCAAAGAAAATGAGAAAGAGGTGTGACACTGTTAAGCAAAATATCATCTTCCCCATTTTCTGAGGTAGCAATGGAAAAGCCAGGCAAACTCAGCACTTTAACTACAGCTATTTTGGAGAAAATGAGTTAGTTCCTAGTGCAGATGCCCCAGTCTCTATGTAAAATCATCTTCAATTATGTTTAACTTAATTCAGGGGGCAAACTGTCTGAATCAAAATCCCATTAAGACACTCCTAAACTAATTTAAGAGTGCTCACAGTGGGGAACTGCTATAATTTGTCTTACTGTGAAGGGATTTTATGCTGCAGAAAATACCAATCTAAAGTATCTCCTTAACATAATGTGTGAGCTTTTGGTAAGCCTTCATTCTGTGCTTCAGGAGACCAGAGAGCTTTGCTTTCCAAAGCAGTGACCTGGGAAGTATTTACTGAAGTGTTTAGACTACTGTCTAATACTCTTTGCAACACTCGTCCAACTAACTGTTCAAAACTAATCATAGTCCCGATCCTTCATTGCTCTCCAGCTGGATGATGAAGAAGAACCACATAGAGACAGCCTTCACTCCTCACACAAACTCTCAAGCTTCAATGACTCTGCCATCACAGTACAAACATAAGTCATTTCTGTATCTGCTATGTTTCAGTGCTGGTCCCGGAAATGTATCTGTCCTCCATCCAATATTAGCTAATTCTTACGGGTTTTCCTTCCTTATTGACAGATGCATGTTGCTGTTTTTCTTTTCAATCTTTAAGCTGAAGGGGTCAATGTTTAAAGTTCATATCTCACTTTTAGCTGTTCTGTCACCCCACTTCCTCTGCAGAGATGCTACAAAACTCCCGTGAATGAAGAAACGGTGTGAATAGTTCCTTAGGTCAGGTCAGAACCACATCACAGACAGACGCTGACCTCGAGCTTTCTCTCCCTAAAAGATAGGTTTACACCAGCTTAACCCTCCTTTTTTTTTTTTTTACTTCTCTAATGACTAGCAACCTAAACACAACTAATTAGTAATAGGGAAAGTCTGGAAAATAATTCAGTGGTCTCAATAGGTATTTCTCCTTTTCTAACTCAGAAGGGAATATACAAGCACATTTTTTGAGAACGGAGAGAGGGGAGTTCTCCTCTCTGTTTTACCTTATGAAGTCTCCTGTGTTTCTGTGCAGACAAGATCCAACAAAACCAGAAGTGCTCTCAATTCAATGGCCAGGAAAACGCTCAGCACGAAGGCTTCAGAGGAGCAACAGCCTATTACCAAATAGCCCGCATTTTAGCACAGGTATGGTATTTCACATTTTAAAGATATTTAAAACACGTGCGCATACACACACATATACAGAAAAATATACATGCATCTTCCTCTCAAAAATTTAATTTAGCATGGAACTAACTCAGATGCTCTACTGACAGAAATCAATCTTCAATTTAATACAGAAGTTATTAGCTCAAACTGTAAGGAAAATAAACATGTACCCATAGATTTGAACTGATAAAAGTAAGTACATAATTATGGGCCAAACTGTGATATCGTTTTGGGGCTGTGGATTGATTCAACATTTCTTAAGTAATATTTGTAGCCTGCAGATAAGAATAAAAAGGTGAAGGCTATAACTTATACAGAACTAAGTTCTCTGTCATGATTTGTATCCCAGCTGAGGGGAACAAACAAGAAACAGAAAGGGAAAATACAAAACCTGAAGGAAAAAAAGATTTCATTTAAGATGATACAAAAAAAATCTGAAACAGCATTTCTGCTTTGGAAAAGGTGAGGGGGTACTTTGGTAAATGGGATTCTTTGGAAGCAGTGACATTAAGCCTGAGACTGCAATGAAGGCATCTCCAGGCTTACTGATGTCTCCCAGAATCAAGGCATGAAGATGACTGAAACACCAAAGTACGTGATGGGTCAGGCCCACTTCTTGACCAGTCATGCAGATCTCACTGCTTGCAGCCATGTGCTTTTCCTTTTTAACCCTCTTTTGAAGACTCTTCTGTCACTCACATTCATGACTCACTTTCTGCCACTCACCAAATGATGCTGTTCATTCAGCGCAATGATGCAGGGTGATGTTTGGTCCCTTGCTGTGAGTTGCTGGCGTTCATAACAAGGAAGGTCACATAGCCTTGTTGCTGCATTCCTAGTTCACAGAGTTCAGAGGGAACCCAAACACATGCAAGCTGTACCAAATCCACTTACTGTATTAGTGTAATTTTCAAGAGCTAACATCTTTCTCCACAGCTATTCTAATAGCTGTCTAACAGCTGTCTACTTTCCTAGACAAGATTTGTGTTTGTCTTGGCACTTGGTCTTCCTCCTTACTGCCTGCTGCCCACATGCACAGGAACGCTGTAGGTGTATATACGCACTCAACACTCAAGCCAGCGTTTCTTTAGCCTTTGTTCAGGTAAAGCCACACTCTGCCTCCTCTACATATTACACCTGTGGTATGTCCCCAGCATTAGGATTTCTTTGTTTGGTCAAAACGTAGTCCAAGTGCCACAAGAACTCTCAGCTGGAAAATAAGTAGGTTAATGAATGCACATATCAAGAGCATGTGTTCAAAAACCTTCAGCTTCTGATAAACAACCTTCCTCTCTCCTTAGAGCAATCACTTATGTACACATTCACACTGTAGGTGATGCCAGGAACTGCTCTCATAATGCACCTGTCTGTTTCTTTATGATCCTTTCCATCTGTTAGACAATTTTCTTGAGACTTCAGCAAAGCAAAATTTTCCAGAGACTTTAGAGAGGCTCAGAGATGCTTGTGCCTTTGTAGAACAACATTTTCTAGCTTTACCTTTGCTATATGACATCAAGTCATTATACAGTCACGAGTATGACTGCAGTGGAGATGGAGAACTAGGAAGTCTTCTGACAGGGTCATGTCCTATCCATATAAAGAGACAAGACACAATTAACATCCAGTGTCTTTAATCTTTCCTCTGATGCTAAATTCCATGACTTGGGAGAAAAATAAACATAGGGAAGTTATGATGAAACATAATCAGTCTTGAGTTGGTCAAAATTTGCAGTCACCACAGGCATAAATTACACATCTCAAAACCAAAATCTCATTCTAGAAAAATCTAATATAGGAAGAATCAATCCTAATAATCATATTGCTGCAATTCATCAAGCACCTAGGATCACTGTTTGGTTGAAAGGTAAAGAAGGATCATTAGCTGCAAGGGACATCCAGTTAATGTTATTAAATCAGGTATAGAGTCCACTGCAAGATTATATCCATAATTAGTGGACGAACACATGAAAACCCCTAAGACAGCGTATTGCAGATGACTGTAACAAAGCTGAAAACCCCTCAGAGTGTAAGTATAAAAACAGCCGTTGCAGCTAAATGAACCTTTTCTGAACAAAGAGAAAGCCCCTTCTTCCCAATGCATACAAGACATTCTACGATTATGTTAGGAGGCTCGTTCAGGAATCCCTCAATATCAGGATTCCTCCACATGCCAGGCCAAAAACCTAGGTCGTTTAGCTGCACACGTACACCCAATTAGTTCTTTTCTGCTGTTCGTAAGAATGTATTTTTTTATTGGGAAGGAACATATATACTCTTAACCTTTGAATAATCCTGGAATCCTGCTGGAAGCACCATGTCGGGATCCTAAGAACAGCAACAGGCCGACCACGGCAACGTCCTTGCAGCTGGGGCCCTACAGAGATCTGCTGTCTCTCTGCAGGAGGAAGAAAGATCCTATCGCCTAAGCTGTCTTGGCCATGCCAGGGTATTTCAGGCAGTCTTGACTGCATTTCTTTCACCTTCACCAGTGCTCTCAGGGGAAGGAGGAACTTCAGAAAAGACACAGCACATGGTCGCCCCATGGGGTGTATTTGAAAGGAATCCCAGAGACAGGCTTGCTATGCAGCAGCATACTCTTACTTTTATAGAAACTTTCATGTAAAGAAGATTAAGAAATGGCAAACTAAGAAAAATAGTAAGACAGAGAAAGCTTTAACACCCCCACCCCCCACCCCCCACACCCCCAAGTTGATTTTGCATTTTGAGCAGAAGGTGCTCAGGTTATGAGCTGGTTCTATCTGCAGAGGAGAGCATTCCTTTCTTCAGGTATCAGCATGATTTCAAAAGCACTGGCATTAATCTTGAATGTAGTTTTCATTCTGTATTGGATTTCTATTCCATCTTAAAAAGAAAGAAAATAATTCATATAGTCAAAATCATGCTTTCCTTTAGTTACACTTAAATGAACATTGAACTAGTTGCAGCACAATCTTCGATAAGCAAAATAAATTGGAAGCTAAGCTAAACTTTTTTATAAAATAAGTGAATATACTATGTTCCAGCATTTAGTAACATTTTATAAATGTTCATTATTTATATTTTCCAAAGGTTGGATTGAGGAAGACAGCCAGTGGATGACCCAGATAAACAGACTCCAAAAGCTAATCGACAGGCTGGAAAAGAAGGTGTGTGTTTCTTTTCACCTGTTTGTTCTCTCATTTTCACTAAAGCAATCCTTAAACCTTAAATCCTTAAATGCCTTCAATGTCCCAGTCGCAGTCTTTCCAATCAATAATGAATGAAACTTCAACATCACCTAAGAGAGCTAACACTCATGTATTCCTTTCACCTTCTTCTTTTGTATTTTATGAAAGCATGACATGGTTCTCCCAAGCTCCTCTTTCCCCTTCCCATCACCACAGATCCAACTTTTCATAAAGATCTGAAAAGTCACATTATTCTATGACTGGAGGATGTTATTGTATTTAGTTATGCTTGTTTTGGGGAACATGGGACAAGCCTCTCTTTTTGGGATGAGATTTTTTTCTCTTCCTCTCCAAACTTTCCCACTGAAGCTTGACAGAAAGTTTTGTTTCCTCCTTCCCCATCAGAGAATACTGATTTATAAAGATTAAAACACTTTCCTAATAAGTACAGTTCAACCAAAAGCTGATGCAAATCCCACCATCCCGCCTGGGAGCCGTGGGAGCCGCCCCAGCTCCGGGGCTGCACCGGCCCCCAGAGCCCCGCGACCGCCTGCAGTTCCCACGCCACAGCGGAGCCCTCCGGGATTCTGACAAATGACCCGTCTGATCCAAGGATACCAAGGCTTCCCAGGGCTTGTAAAAACCTGAGTGACATCTGTCTGTACAGAAAATATCTATTATTTCTTCTGTTTTCAATCAGACTTATTGCTACCCTAGGTTTTAAAAGTTGGTTTATGTCTGTGTGTGATGACTTCTTTGGGTTTTTTTGAGAAGAAAGAAGAGCAGAAGAAAAAGTAAGGTGTAAATTCCTGTGTTGTTCTCTACATAAAGAGTCCCTATTGAAGGACAGACAATTCAGATAGGTGGTAAGGGAGTGGCGGAATTCAGTGGATTTTGGGACCCAGGGGATTTCTTCCTCCTGGTCCACTAGAGGCGAGGTTTTAGGCTGAAGTGCCCTCAGACCCAGGAGTGGCTCCAGTCCCGGTGCGGCTGATGCTGCCCCTCCCTGCAGGTCAGCGCTCACCAGCAGCGAGGCTGTGCATGTACTCCAAAGACATGGATCCCCGCACACCAGCACAGGTGCCTTCACCAGCACCCACAGACAGGCAGCACTCGCAGAAACATGAACGTGCAACAGCTTGATCCTGTTCCTTCTTTCCAGGTGATGAGGATGGTCGTTCCCCCATGAATGTTGTCATGGGCTTCAAGTCCATCTAATATTTGTGGCTGGACCCATGCCCCTTACCTAGGCATCGGCTCAGACCTTGGGTCCTGGCAGACAAGTGTCTCCTCCTACTCACCCGCTAGTCCAGCTTGAGTTCAGTAGCAAATTATATACCTGGAAAATAGTTAAGTTAGGGATTTAACAAGAAGACAGAATAAACAGTGGTGATCCGGCATAGGACTCGGCAAGACAAGCGTGCTGACCTTTCTCTGCCATTGCTCCCTCCCAAATGAACAAACCGCCCCTAATTACTTTCCCCCTTTGGCCCCAGTTTGGGACCAAAATTTGGTATTTCTGTTATCTCAGCCTTATTACTGATGAGCTGCATTACCGATACGGTTACCCCCGGCACTGCTGGCCTCGCAAGGCTCTGCACCCAAAAAGGAGCCCAGTACTCCCTTTGGTTATCCCTGAGGTCTGACAGTCTCTCGCATCGCTTCTCCTTAACCAGCCGTGAAATTCGGCCATTCGTTGTCTGTAACTTCTGTCAGCTTCTCACTGTTCCTTGCTATGCTCAGCAGTTCCTCGTGGTCTGCTCAGTCCATTAAGCCTCTGGCCAGGGCATACTCATCTGCCTGCACACAACAGCTTCCCCCCAGAGGTCAATTCTGCATGGGAAAAGCAATTACACAGCAGTTGCCACGTTAATGACATTTTAGTAGCAACTTGATTTTTTCTGAATAGCTATAAATCGGATTTTGAAATGTCAAAGTCATGAAATGTAACTCTCGCTTTTGGTCCAGCTTTACTCCCAGCTCTGCTTTGGAAGCAGCAGCTCGCTGGCCTGCCAAAGTGACCCCCCTGACACAGACTGAGGCCAAAAGGAGTTTAAGGAAACTTAAAAGAATGTTACTGAAAAAAGAAACCTGGCATACAGCAATAATGCAATGCAAACATTACAGAAAGCAGCCAACCATTTTGTAGTAAATAAACTTACAACAGGGATGTTATAAAATGATCAGATCTGCTACGGATAAATCACAGAGAACCTCAGTTTCAAAAGGAGCTCAGTGCCAAAGGGAAACAGTGACAGGGCATAGACCTTCCATAATTATCTCCTTATCAATATAAAACTTGATTAATAAAACATAGCAATTAGACAAACCTACTTTTGCCAATCATAAAAATCATAAAACTTCTGGTCCTATAAAGTATCCTAAGGCGTATTAAAAAGACTGTGAGAATTCTTTTGTATTAACCACATTCCCTCTTGTCCTCATTTTATTAGATCTTACACTTCATTATGGCAGGAGGAGCTCCCTGTGATCCATGTTTAAACAGCATATAGCAGTGTCTGGGTCATGACTGGGACAGGCGTGTATTGCAAAAAGGATGTCGGTGCCTCTTAGCAGTAGGAGATTGTCAGTCCATCTACTTGGTTCCAAAGCAAATTCAAGAAAAGGCAAAGTCAAGAAAAAGCAAAGCTGATCGCTTGAATGACCACTGGCTTCAATGAGTTGGACAGAAACATCAAGTGGTGACCAACCACTTCCCACCTGGGATGAGGCCATTACATATGCCATCTCTCAGCAGTAACTTAATCATTTTTAGCCCATATGATGTTCCAGGTTAATCCACCACATCAAACCAAGTGTTACAATTCAGCTGTCTTTCAGCAGCTACTAAAACTCTCCTTTTTGACTTTGTCCTGAAGCAGATTAGAAGGATCACAGGAAGAGGCAATTTCAGAAGCTACCAGTTCTCAGCCGAACCTCTCAGCTGAGGTGAGGTAGGACTGAGGAGGCATTGTAAAGCCTCAGCTCTGAGCTGCAGTCTTGGTCAGTTTTCATTTCCAGGCTGCATGAGGACTGTCTGGCAGGAGCTCTCACCTCTGCATTGGGCTACTTCACTCATGCTCAACGACAAGTCAGATGATGCCTGAGCGCTATTTCCACACGGATGAGGACTATGTGCCAGTTCTCACATGCTCCGAGGTCACAGCAAGCTGTCTCTTACCTCATCTGGGTAGTAATGACTTACCTCATCTGGGTAGTCATGCCCTGTCTAATGACATAATATTACTGAAGAACTTGTATAGATTATTTTTAACTTCTTGAGGGGGCCAGCAAGTTATCCATCAGTGGTTCCTACTGGAAAACTACCTGGTGAATGGTTGATTTAGTGTTGTCTAACTCTTCTGCTGTCTTCTGTCAAAGGTGAATTTAACCATGAATCAATCTCGTAAGTCATTTTTTTTTCCTCAAGTTCTAAAGCTATATATACTGGAAAAAATGCAATTCTTGTCTTGCTAACTTAAGAGAAAGTTTGCAGTACAACTTGAGTCATTCCTTTCCTCTCTTTTTGCATATGTTTCCCTAGAAAAAAATTGCACTGAAAGTATAGAACCACAGGAATATGCATTTTCCCTCAGGGTTTTTATCTGAAGTGTCTGCACTGACAAATGAGCTGTTAAAGCTGGGTGTTTGCCCCATTTCATGCCTTTTTATGCACATTCTGCAGGAGAGGTACAGCTACACAGCAGTTACTGTGTGACTGCTGCTTCACTCCTGCCTTGCTCTGCCACCTGCTGCGGGTGGAGGTCCCCTGTTCATTTGAATTCTACCTGCACACCTCTTCTTGGCTTTTCAGCGAGTACAATAGTTGTGCCAGCAAAACGCCTGCTACCTGAGGTTAATGAATCCTCACCCAGCAGAAGAAATTTTTTTATCTTTGTTACACAAGAATTGTTTGCAATGAGAAGCGAAGCACCACTAACAAAGAGTACATTTTGCTCCAGCTGCTTATTGCAGATAGATCCGCTTTTTTTCAGGCATACGGATATTTTTCAGAATATCCATATGGCACTGGGTTAGAGGGTACTGCTTGTGCCTAGCATGTAAGTGATAATTTTGTGTGCGTTACTTGATGGTGTTTGCATGAATCGCCGATTCGTGAAGCGCGCATCCCATTTGCCTGTTAAGCAAGCATACTGCGGCCTCACAGATGCATCTGTTTGCTGCCGCCCAGTCCGGGCCCAGAAGTTTTTTTTTTCAGAAACCTGACTCGGAGCACCGGGCACATCTTTTTCAATGCTAGAAAACAGTCCCTTGCAACTATACCACCCCCCCACCCCAAGAACCTTCTTCTGAGTAAAGTTTTATGATGGCATAATAGTAGCTGATAGTTCATTTCAAATCACCATCCTTGCTCATCTCCAAAGTCCACCTGACAATTTGAGAAGATATCTGTCTTTCCTGAATTAAGTCCAACGTACATTTGTGAGCAAGTGGATTTGTTACAAATGAAAAACTACCTACTCAGCATTATAAATAAAACTTTACAGAACAGCCTGGGCTGGATTTAACCACTGAAATGTGCAAGATTCTGCAAACAATGCTTGTGTTTGACTTACAGCCTAATAAAGAAGGGATTTAATTATAACTTCTGGAGATATAACAGAATCTAGCTATTGGAATAGCTTGTTAAAAAGGTAAGACCAGAATACAGCTGTAGTATTGCCTCTTACATTTCTATTTTCTTTTCAACTGCCTGAAAGGACCTAAAGCTTGAGCCATTTGAAGAGGAAGTTTTGGAAGAAAATGCAAAATCTGTAAGTGCTTTTCAAGATAATGACTTTTGACATTTGATTTTCCATGTCACATATTGAGATAACAATCTCACCTGATCTCTTTTGTTAAAAAATAAAAAGAAAAAAATCACCATCCTCCCTTATCACCGAGTGATAAGAATCCATTTTAGTCAGCAGAATACATTGTGCAAGATGCAACACAACAAAATTTAGAATATGTGGGCAAAACTTTTATATTAATTTTTGCACTGTTTTCAAAGGATACAGTGAGCCAAAAACTCAGCTCACATAAGGAGTAAAAGGTGTCATTTATAAGATTTACCAAATTTGGCAGCAGTGTTTATGGGGTGGTAGCTTCTCAGCTCCCAATCACCTAATACTGCATGCATGCTTTAAATCATGGTTATACAGCCAGCCTCCAACCCTCCCTCCCAAAACCGCTATAGGAAGCCTTATCAGGAAAGACAGGAGAGCATCTAGTGTTAAGCAGTAATCAATACTACAACTTACAAAACCAAAATCATAACCAGAAATAAACGCATTTTTAATTAAGTTCATATCCCAAGATCAATTTTTCAAATACACTAGCATTCCTAAATTCTGGGCTTTGAACCTAACAAAATGCAAATCAAATACACAGGAAGAAATAACCAAAATAGATGATACATCAAATTCCTTATTTCATCACAGGAGTTGTATTAGATTTTTTCTTTTTTAAATGAGATTATAGAATATTGCTAGACAGGCTGCTTATGATGGAGGGATAATCCATGAGATAACAGTATCAATAATCAGGCAGAAAGAAGTCAAAAAGCCATACAAGAGATTTAGTTGTATTAATTAAGAAGCATGTGGTGTTTCTTTATATATTTCATTAGTAAAAACTGACAAGCTTTCATGGATGAATCAATATGTAAACTACTTACATTAGCTAAATGATAACCATAATAATTCAGGATAATTAGGTCTTCTGTACTGCCAAGTGTTTCCATAGTCCTGTTCATAAAGATTGTTCATTTTTTGCAGAAAGGTGGAGTAAAAAAAACCCCTATTCATCATTTAACATGGGCTACCTTAGGCATCTCATTCAGGTGTGAGTCAGAGCTCTGAAAGGTAAAAGACTACAAGAGCACCTCAATGGAAGTCACACTGCATCCAGTGCAGATTGTGGGAATGTCTTCTTACCCCAAACCTCACACCTGATTGCAAACAGATTAATCCAAGGAAACATGCTGACTTGATTGTTGAATATTCCAAAGACAAATATTTGCTTTGCACTCTCCTGAAAAGACGCTCTCATCCAGTCTTTGGACAACTCTCAATTTCTCTAAGATCGACACTAATTTGGGGTGTTTCCATTCTGTGCCTCAGCCTGCCGAGTTATAAAAGCTACGCTCAGGAGTTTCTACTTCTCCACTCCAAAGCACTAAAACAGGGACCGCAAGCTTCGAAGGAACTTTTGTGGGGGTTTTTTTATGATTGTTGTTTTTACTGCTTTATGATAGACTTTTCGGAGTTTAAAGTACAAGGAATTCAGAGGATGATATGGCAGTAATGTTGTAATGTTTTTCTATCAGCACATAATGATTGTTCAACGTCGAATGGCTGTGAGAGAAGAAGAAATCGAGGAATTCCGGCTTGCTCTGAAGCAGTATGTAGAATCTGCTTCTACTCAGGGTGGCTGCTTGCAGTAAGTACAATGTTATTGCCCCTGGCCTGGAGGAAGGAATGTAGTCTGATTTCTTAAATAACCTCTAAGTGGAGCTGGATTATTTATGAAGAGAGAACCTGTAACATCTTCTTTTCTGGCTGGTTATGCATGTGTGTAAGACAAAGCTTTTCAAAGACAACTAAAATCAGAAAGAGATGTCAAAGTATATGTGCAGACTTTAAGTAGTATCACAAAATGACAACACAGGCTATCCCAAAGATGCTAAACAATCTTAAGACTTCTCAGCTCTGCAGGTCATCAGTTCATGGCTTCTGGAAGCTCCTAGGCTGACACTCTTTATTGCAAAACTCATTTGCCATTCTTCATTTGTGCTCACCTGGCAAGTGAGCAACTTACCAACTTGTTTGCCAGTTCTCTGTTTGAAAGGTTTCAAAATCTTCCCTTTAGGCTGTCATTTTAAAATTTTCATTCATAATAAAGAATGGAAAAAATAAAAAAGCAAAATTTTCAATGAAATAGTGTATTTCTGCTTTGCTCCTTTTAGAATTAAATAAAACATTAGAATTGGGTTAAGAATAAATTTTAGTGACTCCCCACTGTACTGAATTTCTTAATTTAACATACCTGAGAAAGCTACTACTGTACACACTATAGACCATTATGAAATAAATATTTTTATAATGTGTACACAATACAGGATCTTCCTATATATTCAAAAGATTCAAAGGCTGCCTATCACATCCCTAATTTATGAGCCTTGTTGCTATGAGATCATCACACTTATGGTGATTGTATCAGTAGTGTTCACACAGACCAGAAAAAGAAAGTTAAGCTGGAAGAAGAAAAGAGTGACCTTTTTGCAGCGGTTCACTTGTGACTGATGAGGAAAATAAAGTTCTGTTGTGGGCCAAGAGCTGGAAAAAACAAAGAGAAGCCCCCCAGCCCCCTTCCAAAACGAACATCCAGCCAAACACTGTAGTGACTGCAAACTTGTCAGGGGGGAGAGCTTACATGACTTCAGAATGCAACTTAACAAATGATGACAGAAAATTACTTTTCTTCCCAAATTGACAGGCATTTGGTAAGTATGTAATGCCACCTACCGGCTTTTTTTCACTGGAGCCGTTTATGACATTGCCTTGTTTTTTCCAACAGTTCTTGATAGTTTTTGCTATTTTACAATGTACTTTTGCATACAGCTGGAGAAAACCAATAAAATCATATGAAATTTCTTATTACAGTATAAAATATAATCTGAGACCAGTTTGCAAGCACATCAGTAGTAAGATCAGCAATCTCACACTTGGGCACTCAGAGAAATACAGCACAAATATTTTTTGTGCTGTACATCTAAACACCAATTTGAGTACGTAAATGCCTAAGTACCCTACATGCTATAAAGCTATTATGCTCAGGATAATAGCGGGATGATTCTGTATAGAGGATCAACAGATATTCTGTGAGTCATTTTTCACCCATGATAAATTGTTAGCTGAATAACATAAGGACAAGTAAGTAATACCAAAATGTATTATTTTAAAAGTGTATCTGCAGCAGACATCAGCCTTTATACTCCATTGCTATTTGCTGCCCAAACACCTAAACTCTGTGCCACTTTGATGCACTTCTCGTGCAAAAGAATGATTTCTCACAATGTCATTCTTCAATGAAACAGCACAAGTTACCCTACAAGCTTACTTGAACTGTTCTCTATGTGCATTATGCTGTAATAGCTGATTTTCCCTGAACCACAGTTTTTTGATTAATTTTCTGTATTACTGATTAGCATTTCTTTAGATAAATTACACTATTGGAGCAATATGAAAAATTAATTTCTCAAATAAGAGTCCATCATAAGTGTACTAAGATAAAATACTAATAAATGAAAAGCCATGAAAATACTCCATGAGTTTTAAAAAAAAAAAAAAAGCTCAGATAATTTGCAGTATATTCCCCAAAATCACTTTGTTAAATTTATTATTTGGTTGTTTGTTTCTTCAAAAATCACTCCATTTGGTTCATACTCATAAGCAATTTGGAATAAGATGTGTATGTCCAATAACTGTCACGTTTGATTAAATTAGTTCTATCCTACAATTCTTAGTGTTTCCATACAGAAGCTTCCAAGTGATTCCCACTTCATTGTTTATGAGTTCTGGAAGAACAGCAATGCCTGGAATAGGTAAGTTTTAGGTTTTTTGGTTTTAGGGCTTTTTTTGTACTACAGAAAGTTTTGAAGGTTAGAGAGCAGTTGTGTAGAAGGACTGAATACAAATTACTTTAAATACTGCTAATCGATCTCTTGCTAAATACATCACAGTTAATACTTCAGAACAATACTTCAATTGCTAAAGACTAAAACATACTGAAACACATAAATAAAAATGTCAGAAAGACACAGCTAGTTTGAACAGAACAGAAAATGTCTGAAAGTGAACAGAGAAAGGTATGGCATCAGATGTATGGTACTTGATCAGAGACAAAAGAATAGGGCAATGGCAATATTACCGTAGTTCAACGATGATAATGAAAGAAATGAATGAGACAGGAGGTGCATCCAGCAACACACTCAAGGATGCAAGCAGTCATGGGGAGCTGTCCCAAAGACTCCCAAATCCACATCACAAAAACCCCTCCGACAGATTCCCGGAACGTCTGTTTTGGGACCAAAATAAGAAGTTATAGTGATTAAAAGTCCTACCAGCTGAGTTCTGGCCTGCAGCAGGCCGATGGCCAAGAAATTGAGTAGAGACAAAAATATTTTCCTTAAATACTTTTACTATTAAAAAAAAAAAAAAAAAACAAGACCCATGATCCTAAATCTGTAGACAGAAGCCGTTCTGAAGGAAGATGGAGAAGTCTCTTGAAGCTTAGTTTCCTTCCATTTGAACAAAGTCCCAGTTCGAAGTTTACTTTCAGAAAGACTGAAGAACACTGGTAACACGTCAACATACTTGGAACAAGAACTGCTATTCTGGGTCACAACCAAGAGATGAGCATCAGGGTAACAGTTAAGCATACAGAAGAAAAAGTGTGTTTAATATAATATGCAAGAACTTCACAGCTTATGGTCTCCTCTCCCACTATCATCATTTTCTAAGTTTTGAAGCACAAAATCTCTGTTATAGCATTAATTGTAAAATTTCTGATGCTCATAAAAATTTTAGCCCCTTTAAAAAACTTGATTCTTATTCTTATTTTTTACAACTATTTAGCCACCTTCAAATGAATTACAGCAAGACATTCCAAAGAAGTAATGTGGACTTCTTGGAAACTCCAGAGCTCATCACAACAATGCTAGTCCCTGGTAAATATCAATTTTCCACATTATTTTGTTTATTCCATGTGAACAGTTCTGCTATATTAGTGTGTTCCATATGCAGGACCACTGCCTAATATCACCCTTAGTGAGATTGTCTTTGGTAAAGTATGAAAGAGAAAGGGACTCCAAATGTTTTTATTTTAAGCACAGAAATGTAAAATGCATCAGCAAGAGTAAGACCCACAATGCTTTATTTTAGATAGTGGAAAGTTACGCTAGCATATACTATTTAAGAAAATATCTAGAATAAACAATACTATTCGTGATTAGTAAAATAGACCCTCTTTAAGATTTTCAGACAAAAATATGCTTGCTGATGAAGACTTCAACTTAATCATACGTACATTGACTGATGCGAGTCTTAATTACTAATAATTTCTATTTACTAACCAATTTATTGTACATGCTTCCTGCTATGTTAAAACGGAGAAAAAACAAACTACTTTTTGAAAAAGCAAGGTGTTAATGATGTCAAATTACTATTTCTAATACAAACCAATGAGCAGGCAACACCTTCTTTCTCAGAGAAATGATAGTTAAAAGAGACAGTGCAGGATGAAGCAAAGCAAGGATCAGTCCCATATTTTCAGAGGAAGGGCAGCAAAACTTTTATCTTAGGCAACACAAATCTATTACAATGAAACCCGAATTTCCCCTATGTCTGAGTAGACTAAATTTAAAATAATAAACCCCCACCTAGTAGAAAAAAAAATTACGTAGTCCCGTACCTGGGGTTTCTCCTTAAAAGAAACCAGCCAAGCCATTTTCAGACCTCATGAGCCTGATCTGAACATGCAATTATATGCCCGGGATTCCTGCAGTATCAGGAGATTGCACTTAATGAACCAGGAATCCCTTCAAATCTTTTATCTTACTGGGAAATTACTGGATTTAAGACAAACTTGGCTGTAGGAAACAACACAGCCTTTTCCCAAACATCTTTGTGTCCAAGAGCTAGGCTGAGTATGACCCAGGAGTGTTCTAGCGGTGGTTTTACTCACAGCTAAAGTACAATTACTATAAAATAAAATGTAAACATAATTTATAAATGCCTAAATATAGAAGTGTCTGAAATTGGATTAAAAATGCTCGTTAAAGCATTGACTCTGCCTGCTAAGAAGGGTTTCAGTCTGCAGCACTCTACCCTGGCAGACAGTTCCCATAGAAACAGCATCTCTCACTGTGCACTCCTCGCTGGGGGGGCAATGGGAAGTAACGCATTCAGTTATTTTTACAGTTTCATAGACTATCTATTATTTAGAAATCTGTGCAGGCATTCGAACTTTTGTTTCTTGGAAAGTACTTCCCATATTTGATCTATACAAATCATATTTGTATTTGAAAAACAGAAAATGTTCATGAAGTAAAAAATGACTGCAATGCTACCAGTATACTTCATGAAAGAATTTTAGACACCATAAAGTGATACCACTGTAAAATCAGGAAAAAAACCAACCTGTCTGCAACTAGCACATAGACAGGCTCTATTTTAAAAACAAATTTACCCTAGCTCAGACACATCTACAGTTTTTTTACACATCTGGTTAACTAAGAACTGAAACAATTTTAAATTGTGACCTGAATCTGATTCAAAGATTACAACCCAAGAGTCTTCACTCAGCTGATTAATTAAAATTAATAAGGATACACTAACCTGGCTAAGAATGATTCAGGAAGACATGGGATTTCAAGACTGTTAGATCCAATATTATCCTAAAGCAAATTCCTTTACCATCAGTTAATAGGAACCACAACCTGTCATAATCACTTGCCCACCTGTTAACCGACCAAGTTGCTTCAGGCCAATCTACCAGGGTGGCATGAATCACTCAGTCCATCTTCAGTGAATGCCTAGTCTTTATGTAAGATCTGGACTTGAGGACACTAGAAAACCTTTTGGTGAAGAAAACAAAAGCTAGGGGAAAACCATTGAGCACTCATGACACTGTAATCCATGAAATAAAATGTTAAATTGGCATTATTTTTGGCCAAAATTCATTAATCCACTGATGTGTCAGAGATTACTAGGCTTTCACAGCCCAAATTCAGGTTAGATTCTTAAGTATCTTCTCAACATTCTTCTTCAAGAATAACATTTTTCAGAAAAATGCCATAGATTGAAGGATTTATGGACACATTCACAGAAACAAGTTGTGTTAACGAAGTCAATCCCCAAACTGTGTAGTGCAAGATCTACTGAGCCTAGAACACCCCTCCGCTAAGGGGACTTGGCATCTCAGATACAGTCACCATTCCCTTCCTTCCTTCCTGTCTCTCTCCATGAATCTTGTGGTTCCTCTCTGCATAAGGTTCAACTTCAAAAGGGCAAAGGAAAGGGACTGTTGGGAAGAAGTACAAATGTGTTTCACTCCAGCCCTGTCTATAATCTGGTGATTACAGATCTTCTTTTACAGGAATGACATTTTACAAGTCCATCAATTCTCTTACTTTTGGGGCAAAACGCTCTTAATTCCTACAGTTGTGTAAAAAGAACAGCACCAGGTTTGAATAATGTCACCAGGAAAGAAAGTCATTAAAAGGCAGCACAACCACCCAGGGGACCCAGGGCTCAGCTAAAACACTGGCACACGCAGCAGAACAGGAGTGAGGATTTGTGTGGTTTGCTCTCTGGAAATCTGGGCGCCTAATTCTATGCAACCACAGCTATGACACGTTAATGCTTCTTTGGATGTTATCAAGAAGAGATATAAATTCTTGTGCTAAAGCCAACCCCCCCACACCAGTTATACTCAGCTCTCCTAGTATTTTAAGTATCCTTCCCCTGCCCGGAGAGGTTTTCTCCTTGAAAGTATGAAGCTTTCAAATAAAGTACTATTAGCTGCATATATAAATGAATGTTTCTTTATATAAGTTACAGCTATTTTATTTAGGATTTTTACAAGAGGTAGAAAAATAAATACTGTTTATTTGTTAACAAATAAACAAATAACTTCTCCTCTCTTTCAGCATCGTGGTGGGTCCTCAATAACAACTAGAAGCTGTGGTTCCAAGTAATGTTAATGTTGCATTGTTTTTCATTATAGTAACATTCATATAGCAGTGTACAGGTGTGCTGGGTTATAAATTTATGCTGTGATACTGTTTGTTATTATGGATGTGATCTTTTCCATTTTAAAATATGGAAAACTGCACATTAATTACCTTCTCTTCTTGTGACTAGTTCGGTGAAATGATACATTCTAAAAGCTGAAATAAGACAACTATGCTAAACTGTTTATTGTGTATATTCAGTCCAAACTGTCACAGAAAAGTGCATCTTGACTGGTATGACTAAGTATTTGTGAAAAATTTTAGTCTTACGTTAATAAACAATTGTTACTTAATGCTGCTGCTTTCTCCTTTTACAGAAGAAACAGGAATGAACATGAACACATATTTTCATAAATGTCTTATGCTTCAGAGAAGCTGTAAGCCATTAATTAGGAGAATAAACATAGGGACAACTTTTTGTGTTAATACAGAACTTCACTCATACAGGAAATTTTCTACCCATGACAAGGCAGTACCATTTTCTCTTCACAGCCTCTAGCCCCTATCCTCACAAGAGGAAATGTCTGCCTGTCTGCCAAGCCGCTTTGGATCCAGACGTAACATTTCACAACCAATTTGCTTTGAACCCTATGTCCTGAACACTCAGAAAATATTTTCATTAGATCACTGGCAGCTCACTGAAAAGTCATTAGAGAAACTGCTGTTAGAGCATAAATAGCCATAAACCTGGAATAGAAATACTTTCTTCCCTAAGAAGTCTTGCATCCGAGCAGTGAGTGTGTCCTCCAGCCCAAGAATGAAAGGCAAGTGACTATTGTAACCTCACACCTCCATGACAAGCTTTGGTTGACAAGCTCTACACGCTAAATGATCACTCTCTCCACTCATCTAGCAGTCCAAAGTTACAAACAGTACCCAAAAAGTAACTTAAAAATCATATTCAATAAAATATCTTAAGTATAGGATTTACCTATTTTTATTTCAACTCAACCAACACATTACCATATGTAATTAAAAGTGGGGAATTTAGACCACAAACGAACAATCTTCATTGCAGTAAGGTTCCATATTCCAGAAGCTATGACCAGGATTGAGCTCAAGATTAAGAAAGGTGTCACATTTAGGTACCTGCATGTGACCAAGGCATCTTAGCTCCTATTGTATCAATGGAGTTCTGAGGCAAAATCAGTTGCCTAAACGAAGGCATCTAGTACAGGTGAGATGCTCTAGGGTATCCCAGCTGGTCTCCAGCTCCCAGCTGAGAAGGACATGAGTTATCTATAGGCTGTGTGTCATTCACGCCAGCCCTATGCAGCTGCTTCAAATACCCTACATGTCTCAGATGACACCAGATGCCTACCATTACACAACTGAATCAAACCCTTTGCCAATAGAATCAAGGGAGCTTAGGTTCTCTAAGCAAATGTAGATGTCAGAAAGTGATGCCTACACACCTAAATTTAGGCGCCCACGTTAGAGACAAATTTCACCTTGAAATCTTTTTACAGTAACTCAGTGAAAGTGAATGCTTTTAATACTGAAGTCCAAAGCTTTCCCATATTGACATGATCCAACTACAGACCTGTTCATTCCTAAAAAGGCACCCAAATAGCCATATTACACTCACAAATGACAGATCAGTGAAAGTTTAAAGGTTCCTTGTCTTTAGCAAAGTAAAAGTAAAACTACTCGTATTCCTGAAGACCTGGCTGGCTTTTTCCCTATGCCAAGATGTCAGTCTAGTGTACGGCATGTTTTCTTTTGTCACTACTCATCTATCGACAAAGGAAATACAGCGACATGTGGTACTGCTGCAGGGTAAATCCTGAAGTGAAAACTGACACACTACACTGAGGTTTACGACATTTTTCCTTTTCACTGGATAAGCTATATTAAAATTATTCTTAAACTAACCTGCTTTATAACTTCATGTCAGTTAGGTGCTGGAAGGGGGGAAAAGTCCTAGTAGGTCATTCTCCTTTGTATATTTACTAGAAAACAAACACTTTGATGAATCATACACAAGAACATGTTTGAGAAGTTTCACTTAAAGAGTTTTGAGAGCTACACACAGAAATTGCCTGCAACACATACTGGGGAAAAAGATCCATAGGACTCACTCTAAAAAACTCCCAGTGATTAGAAAACAAACAAACAAAAAAGATTTCAGTTCTTTGTAACATTACTTGTAAACAACATACAAATAGAATACACTTGGAAGCTTATTTTAATTGACTAAATGCTGCTAAACATAAAAGAAATTCAAACAAGTTTATTTGCATAGCTCAGGGAAAGAAATCTAGTGTCTATCAAAGGCAACTTGAAAGTTTTCTGCACTATTACGATTACCGTTCAACACATTCTAATTTAGCTTCCATTATCGTTTGTGACAGAGGTTAAAAAATTGCCTTCAGTGCCCAAATGACATTATTGCAGGTCTGAATACAGGTTTTGAAGGTAATTATATTCACATAAAATAACTATTATTGATGCTTGTCAACTGAAGAATACTTCCAGGAAATAAACTACTGCTTTCCACTTCACTATTAAATACTATTCTAATTTAAGAAAAAAAAGTTACAGAATTAACTATGTATTGGTATACCCATTTACCCATGTAAGACGTGATTAAAATCTGTCTTGTTCCTCAATTTTGCCCATTACTTCCACATTTCAAAGTCAAAAACACTGGACTGGACAATTCTTTACAAAGAACTTCAAGGAATGCAATGCATAGACAGTTCTCTTGTTCTGATCCATGATGAGAGAAGATTTCTCATTTTAGTGACACTAGTAACAAGAGACTTTGTACCTTGAAAGAAGGTATGTATCCACAAAATATTAAAGAACCTCTTGTGTCAAGATGGAGATTTCAAATGAAGAAAGCAAGCAAAGTGAAGTTTGGGGGGGAGGGGGAGGGAGGGGGGAGGGATGACGACCTAGAGGAGTACGTACCCTAAGACATCTGAGATTTGACACAGCCAGTATTTGTTGTTGCATTATTACTGCTAAGGAAAGGAGGTGGGAGCAAGCAAAAAGCCCCAGTCAAGTATTGGTTTAGAATTTATGGTCAGACAAACTATATGGCTACATAACACAGACAATTCAAGGACAAAATTCTGTCACAGCAAAAGGTAAAATTATTTATTTTCACTGTAATTGTATTACCATCTCAGGCATTACAAATGGAAGGGTTGACTTTTAAAGCATTCAGGCAATTACAGGAAGAAACCGGCATTTCCATAAGTTTCACAGGGTCCTACTTTCATCTGTAGGCACCCAAGTACGTTCAAAAATCTTAAAGATCTATATCATACGTAGCTCCTTCATTGATGGATTTCGCATCTTCCAAACAACCTGTCACTTCTTGCGTGTGTCAATAAAAGGGTTGCTCTTTTCCTGTAAGATAAACAAACCCTCAAATTACTTCAGTTGTAAGAGGTCATTTAAACTAAGTTTTCATGGGTCTGCTTATAACACTTTTCTACTCCATGTACATTTAAAAATTTGATATTTTTTTGATTTATTGTTTAAGTAATGGGAACATCCAATAAAATCTGATAAAAGAAACACAGCTTTCACAGCCTCCCCAAACCAATTTGTTTTTCACTGTGAGGGTGACCAAGCACTGCAACAGGTTGTGCGATTTCTCCACAGAGAGGTTGTGAAGTCTCTGCCTGTGGAGGTACTCAAAACCCGACTGGATATGATCCTGGGCAATCTGCTCTAGCTGACTCTGCTTGAGCAGGAGGGTTGGACTAGGTGATCTCAAGAGGTCCCTTCCAAACTAAATGATTCTGGGAAATTAATTAAAAGCTACCAAAAACATGCTTAGGAAAGAAAAACAAGCAAGCAAAAAAAACCCCAAACCCAAAACAAGGCTGTAGATTATAATTCTGTCTCATCACTAAACAGATTAGAAAGAAACAGCACCTGGAAAACACTGTTTGCATCAAAACTAAAGCTGTTTGTACTTGTCCTATAGGCTTTCCACTATTAATCAACTTGTTCTCTACTTCCGTGTGGAATGCTCAAACTCTGACATCCAGCCTCAATAAGCAAAGTGTCACATAAAGCAGGCAATTTAGCATGACAGACTGGTATCACCGTACTGCACCAGAAGGAGCCTGAAATCACTGCCTTTTATGGATAAATTAGTTCTGAATTTATCTTCACTCTTTCTTTGATTCCAGATGCCTTCTCAGATTACATGGTCAAGAATTATGAAATGCTTTTCCTCCAATCTACAAGAAGTTTTAAGAAAAACCCGTAACAGGCTCAACCCTTTTATGGGATATTGGGCTCAGACTATTCTCATTTGAGATAAACCCTCTCCTGGATAGAAAAATTCCTTATTCAGTGTCACCATTTTAAGAGGAGCTATACACCAATGAGCTCTGCATTCCAAACAGACAGAGGCTTCTCCTATTTCCATGTTGACTACTCAGTCCTGTATTTCATGAAAGTCTCACTAGTAATGTTTTCCAAGAGATGCATCTAACTCAGAAAAGGAAATAATGCAGGTCTTTGTCCCATAAAATGTTTGGAGTTATTGGGGTTTTTTTCTTCTAATTTTGAAATCACTCCTCATTCTTGAAATTCAACATCTATCTTTTCACACTAACATACAAGACTTGAAAGTCAGATCCATTAGTTGACAGGCCAAGTCTATTCCTGGGTAAGATTCAGCTTCTATTCTATTCACAGATTCTTATATTTGGATTCCCATACAGAAAAACTTAGTATCTCCAAGTGCTTCCATCTTTTTATAGAAAGTGACTAGCTGGGTAGGGTTCAGGTGTACCACAAAAAACTTGTATTTCGGTATATGGCAATGGGATTTCTAACAAGGTTCATCTAGTTAACTGAGATCTTACAATGTTCTTGGAAACAATGGTAATTTTTGTCTCTTCCTTGCCAATAAGGAAACTGCTTAGTGAAAAGCAAGCTGGTATATCCATGCAGACGTGCAAAATACATCTTCAGACAGTCAACATCCAAAGAACTTGTATGTTTAATTCATGTTTAACACACCTCCAAACAAACTCCCTAACTACTAAAAATTCAACGTCTACACTAAAATTCAACACTAGAATACAACAGTGGATAGTTTCATGCCACATTAACAGCAAAACATTTACTCTAGTCAATTTTAATTCATGTTAACACACCTCCAAACTCCCTAACTACTAAAAATTCAATGTCTACACTAAAATTCAACACTAGAATACAACAGTGGATAGTTTCATCCCACATTAGCAGCACAACGTTTATTCTAGTCAATTCAGAAAAGAATTACAGACTATCAC